GCTTTTTCTCCAGTCTCTTTTCCAGCTCCTAGCAGAGTTTCATCTGCCTTTTCTCTGCAGCTTGGAGGTCAAAGAGGGTGGCTGTTGAATGACAGTTGGTTCTGTGCTTCTTTTCCTTCTTTTGAGCCTGCACCAGGCTAGAGTGCAGCTCAACAGGACTGTCTGTGCTTGTTTGTTCCATAGTGCAGATCTCCCTAGGACAGGGGCCTCATAAGCCACCAACAAAGATTTTTAGCCCTGCACTATGACTTATCCATCAAGCAGTGAAGGATCTGTCTCAGGCCAGATGCTGTGTCATGGTGATTTAAAATTAGATTTCTTGTTACGCAGTAACATTTTTTCTTCTCCTTACAGGTATCCTCTGACAAATTACACGTTTGGCACAAAGGAGCCTCTGTATGAGAAGGACAGTTCTGTGGCTGCTCGGTTTCAGCGCATGAGAGAAGAGTTTGACAAGATTGGCATGAGGCGGACAGTGGAAGGAGTTCTGATTGTGCATGAGCACAGGCTGCCCCATGTGCTGTTACTGCAGCTGGGTACAACTTTTTTCAAACTGTAAGTGTCTGTTTCCTAAGTGTAACTGCATTTTATTGTCACAAACCACTAAACGTGGGCTAGAAGTTAAACTGTGGCCAGCTGCTCAGTGTTTTCAATGGGGTTCATTGCTTGTAAAGACTTAGTTGGAAAGTATTTTTTGAATGGTGGGGTTTCAATTTAAAGTGTGTTTGACTCTGCTTTTAAGGGGGATGATTTAGTTTGGAACTGACTGGGAATCTTAGTTACAGTGCATCACTACAGTAAAATCTTGTTTAAAACTCATTACCAGCAGTTGATGTGTTGTACTTGCATTGTGAAAGCTGTTATGCTTCAGTCGCTTATGCTGTGCCCGTAAAAATGGGCAAGTGGAGGCCAAGGACTAACCCCCTGTAAATGCAGAATGATACCTGTTTACAAACTAATGGCTGAGCTGGGATAGCAAGAAAGGTAGGCATCTAAATTTGAGAAAATTGCTTCAGTTCATCTCATAGTTATCACAGCCAGACTGAAGTTTTAGTAATTGCATATGGATGTAGTGATGGTGGTGAGTTTATTTTTTAAACTAGATTGCCGTGGCTTGTCTCATGTTACCATGCTTGTGTTCTTGTTCTTCTGTTTTAACATTTTAGATTGTTCTCAATTTTGTGTGTATGTTAAGTAATTTTATATATAGATTAGTTTTTGGCATCTTGGTTTGAAGGGCTGTTGCGGACAAACTAGGCAAGAATGTAAACGATTTGCAAAATGCTGTAATGATGAAAATTATTAATCCTACATAATTTTCCCACATGAGTTTTATTTTCTGCTTTCTCTATGCTTCAGTTAGTGCTGGTTTTGTGATAAGAACAAATACAGGCAGTATTTACAGCCCTTCAGCTTCTGGTTATTATTGTTAAAAGTTTACCCTGTAAGGAACTGAGTTATTATCATGTGTATTGTTATAGTTTGTCCTGCTGAACTGAAAGTATTTTATGCAATGGTTATTTTTTAAGGGACATAAATAGCCATTTTAGTTTCAGTTGAGGTGAAAGCTATGCTGCTGTCTTTCAATTCAGCAAAACTAGATCTGGAACTCCTGACTTAAGAGCCATAAGCCTGGAAGTACACTGGAACTTGGCTGTGAAGATTGGTAAGTGCAATAAAATAACTTTGGCTTTCATCATTGATTATTTTAACAGACCTGGTGGTGAACTCAATCCCGGAGAAGATGAGGTGGAAGGGCTCAAACGCTTAATGACAGAGGTCTGTTTTCTTTCATTATATTGCTGTAGGAGAATGTTGCATTATTTTGGAATTACCAGAATAAGATAAAGCATTAGAGTAGTCTTCTTACCACTGTTGTTATTTTGTTGCTTTTGTGATGTTCTCAGGTAGTTAACAAATAAAGCAGTCAAGTTTTCATTTATCTGCATCATGAGTGTGGCTGACTCCTACCTGCTGCTCAAGTCCTGTGTTCATTTGCAGCTTTACTTTCTGACTGGCTTCAGGCAAGTGAGTGTAGAGATGAGCAATAAAATATGTTGTAGAGGACAACTGTTGGGGACTTGCCTTTGAGATAGTCCTCTCAATGCACCATTTTCTCCAGGTAGCTAAATTAATTCTGCTAGATAATGTAAAATGTATTGCATTCTTCCCATTGGTCTGATAGGACTCAGTCCAGCTGAGTACAGCATAGATTTTTGAAAAGCTTTTTAGAGGGTCCTGGTTTTACCAGGTGAGGCTTTTACTGAAAAATCTCACTTTATACAAAAATTCTCTACAGTTCTATTGAAAGCTGTCTCAGAGCAGTTATGAACTACATCAGACATGTATTACAGCAAGTGTTTGTGCTTCCAGTATGTGTTTACTAAAACAATTTCCTTGAGGTAGTTTGAGGTCTGATTAGTACTGGATTTTTGATAGATACTGGGTCGTCAGGATGGTGTTCAGCAAGACTGGGTGATTGATGACTGCATTGGCAACTGGTGGAGACCAAACTTCGAACCTCCACAGGTGAGTACTCCCGGGGCTTCCATCTTCTTTGGTCAAGTTCTGTCTGTACTTCTAAAAGCCTTCAACCTTCCAGATGGGCTTCTTGAGTACCTGCTGCATGAGCAATTTGTTTTTCTGGGTTTTGTCTATTTCATCTCCTTTCTATGACTGAAGAGAAACGACAGCCTTTTTTTTTTTTTTAATGGAAATTCCTGTCTTTCTTCTCACACGTGTCCTGATGGATGAGAAACCACTAGGTGTAGTAGCATCCAGTTCCATACTGAGATATATGCACCATTTAAATTCCTTTTGTAGCCACAATAGAGATTCTTGCACTGCTGATTATGGAACATGCCCTAGTCTCACTACCCTATTTCTAAGGGCTTTAATATTGAAAATCCTTGTTTAGTTTGCTTTTATGCATTTCTGTTTTATTGGGTTGTTTTAACTGCTTGTGATATTGATGCCACTTTAGAGCCTGTCAATGGTTGTGACAGCAACAGTATTCCTTTCCTAAGTGCTTTCTTATGAAAATGGTTTTATTTGATGCCATGAAAGAATAATATATGACACACTGAAAACGTGTACAGGGCTTGATAATTTATAAAGCATTTAAGATTACATAGTATTTTCAAAGCTGTGTACAACTGTTTTTTACCATTTTTCTTCTAGTATCCATATATCCCAGCTCATATTACAAAGCCAAAAGAACACAAAAAGCTATTTTTGGTCCAGCTTCAAGAAAAAGGTAAGTGTTTGTTTGCATCAAAGTGTTGTATTTGTAACAATGTTTAAATGCTTGCATTTCACTCAAGGAAAACAAAGTTGTGATTGTGTATGTTATGGTATGTTATACCAAGATGTGTATGCTTGCAGTTGTTTGTGGTTGATCACTAACAAAGTTAAATGCTGGTATTTTTTTTGAAGGTAGATGATCCTTTGAACATGAGTTTCTAGTAAATTTTTATTCCTGCTCCTGCATCAGTCTGTGCACAGGATGTGAATCCCATATTTAACTAAAAAAGCAATAAACCTGCTTGAGTGCTCTATGTAGTGAACTTGTTTTGAGGTCTGGGGGGAATGATGATACCTTGGCTGAATGTGTGCTGGTTTTTTTGATTCATCAACTTGTATTTGTTTTTAGCTTTGTTTGCAGTCCCCAAAAATTACAAGCTGGTTGCTGCACCATTGTTTGAGCTCTATGACAATGCACCAGGATATGGACCTATTATTTCCAGCCTTCCTCAACTTTTGAGCAGGTATGTTGTATTTGTATAGTGGTTCTTTGGAACATGTTTTGCTGTGGGACACCAGAGCAAGGCAAGGTGCTACAGAAACCAACTTGAAAAGGTGGCATCTATCCCAAAGCTTCTGCTTCATATGAGCTGCATGGACACTTTGAGGCACTGATCACAACTGGCTAGCACCAAAGTCCTACCTAGCAGTAGCTAAGGAACACATAGAAGATATGAGGGTGAGGCTGTGCACAGACTGAGGAACAGCTTCTTGTAGTTATTGGGGACAGCTGGAGAGTTAAAGCCAGGATGTAAGTTTGAAGCACTGAGTTACGTATGCATGTTATCAGTGCTTTGTGCTGGTTAAATGGGGTGGGTTTTTTGCACTCTTTAGTAGAGTTAATGAAGTGTAGCATCTTTATGACACAAACATCTGTAGGGACAGCTGTATTTTTTTCTTTCTCTTGTAATGTATACCATGCTTTGAGCTGGGAATGGCTTGTGGCTTTTTATTACCTGGGAATGGCTTGTGGCTTGTCTCTCCAGAGCTCACTGGTCTCTTACTTGAGAGAATGTTCAGGCATACTAGGAGTCCCACAGCCTGCCAGCTCTTCCTCAGGGAAGTAGTTCTCTCACCTACTACTACGATGAAAAAAGTATGTTAGCACTGGTGTTGCCCATAATCTTGTTTCCTGCTGAGTATTTTTCTCTCTAGCTCAAATTTTGGCTTCCCCTCGTCTAAAGACAGCAGGTATTTTCTCTTGAGTATCAGCCAAACACTGTCTATTATGCAGGTTGGGTAGTGGTGCAACAGACACATGCAAAGGCTGGGCACCTGGAAGCTGAGATGGATTGCTTGCTTCCACAGTTATTTATGAAACTTAGCTAGGAAAAATTCTCTCTCTATTATGTCTGAATGTTCCCCTTGGAACATGTAAGGTTCAGAAGAGCTGCAAAAGAGTTGCTGATGGAGGAATGTAACTCTCACTGTGATTTATGTATCTATGACCCTGTTTTAGGAGATGAAATGTTAATAATTAGTTCTTCTGCAACCATAAGAGACAGTTGTACAATGCTAGTGTAGGATTGGCTGTTAAAAGTGATATATATACTGCTATACTGTAAAGCTGTCTTACTAAAAAATGTACTTTTGTCCTGTCAGGTGGAGGCTTATCTAGAGCAAAAACAAAACATTTGCTTATTCATTCAAAAATGCCCTTAAAAAAAAGAATGAAAAATCCTCACTTGGTATAATCCTTTTAATTTTAGGTTCAACTTTATTTACAACTGAATTCCTATATACCTGAAGACTCCAGTAGAAGAAGCCGTCTCTGTGAGCACAGCTTTGAACTGTAGAGAAACGAATATGTGTGACACAAGGATTTTTTTAAGTCTTTCTGTTCCTGAAGGCCACTAAACATTCTAGGGTATGAACAGAGAAGTGAATCTCAACTGTTTAGCTAGAGAGATGGCAATGGGCTACCAGTGTTATAATCCCTTATCATTGTAATACTCACCAATTTTTTGTTTTGTACAACATTAAAGAATATGGTTAAGATTCTGTTTGTCTTGGGTTTGGTTTGCTTTTTGCTGTGTTTTTTTTAGTTATTTTTGGTTTTGTTTTTTTCCTTCTGTTTATTAGTTTTTTTATTTTTCCTTATTGTCTCTTACTTTTAGATGAATATTTTAAACTTTATTACTTTTCTTCAGGAATACAGATGATCTTGGAATGAGGAGGAGCTAAGCCATTCAGGGCTCATTCACATGCTGGGATCTTTATCCGTGAGAAGGGGATATCCCTAGGATCAGGGAGAAATGAAATAGCTTAAGTGGATTCAATATTGTTTTAAGTCTAACTTGGAGACCAGAACTGCATTTTTGAGGGAGAATGAGTACTTACAGGCAAGTGTAGCCTTTACCTTTTTTACCAGAACGGATCTGTTTGTACAGGGCTTGGAGGAGATGCAGCATGCATCTGTTCCTTCAGTGCCCCCTTAAGACAGTAACAACCCCAAAAATTCTGGTCTGAGCTACAGTTAAAATAGGGAAAGTGAGGTTAATTTTGTATATTTTTTCTTAGCTATGGGACAGAATTAGGGTAATGCTGAAACACTTAACCAATGCCACATGCAAGCGGTTCCATGTTATGCTGTCCTGTGCTGTCTCATCCTGCAAGGGATACCCACTTTTGCTTTTTCTCAACATTTCAGTTTCTTGTAGGCAGTAAATATCAATCTTTCTAATTCTGGGGGTTTTGCATGCTTGGCTAAACATACAGTCCAGTTGGATGTGATACTTCACAATTCTTTTAGTCTTCCATAATTTTGCTTAATGAATGAGTCTTTGAAAGATTTGTTTCCAAGTTCTGCCTCTGATCAGAAGATGCACTGTTGCCTGTGCACTGTCCTCTTTTATGAAGGCAGGGTTGGAGAGCACCTGCTGCCAAGAGAACTGAATCTTGCCAAAGTGCTTGCTTCTGCTGCCATCTGCACTGGTAAGCAACGTACAGAACAATCCTGACAGCTTGGTGCTTTGGTCAAATTGAAGCTGTGCAATATGGCAAATGTACTGCAAAATGCTGGGAGAGTGCAAGGGCTGTTCACTTTGGTCCTATGGAAGGAAGGCCCAGACAGATGGTGAGTAGAATGTATGGTTTCTTAGCTACCAGCTAGGGGAAATACAGGTAGCAGGAGAGTGGAAAACAGAACCTTTTTGCCTGCGGAATTAAGAAAAGGCAGGTGAAAGTTTGGAAGTCAGATGCAAGAACAAGAGTAAAGAGTGCAGATCAAAGAGCAGCGTGCAGCTTTTGAGCCCTGGCACTTAAGAGCGCCTCTCACCTTACCACACGGTATTTTGCGAGACTAATTCTTGTTCCAGGCTGCCTGTGGAAGTGCGCTGCTCCTGCAGTCTCTACGCGCTCTCTTCTGCCACCCTGCCTGTAGGTTTGGGGGCTCCCGAAGGCCCCTCTAATTCCGGCGGTGCGGCCGCTGTCCCGGGCGCGGGGGGTGCGGGGCAGGGCCGGGCCGGTGGAAGCGCCGCCCCGGCCGTGACTCAGCGCGCGGGGTGACGGGCGGACGCGGCGCCCGGAGCCGGGGCGGAGGGTTCGGGCCCGGTCTGTTTCCTTTATCCAGAGGGGGCGGCTCGCCCGGCCCCGGGGAGGGGCGGCGGGGCGGGCGTTAAGCCGGGGGAGCGCGGCGAGCCGGGGCCGGGCGTTCGCGAGGGCTCCGCGATGCCGCTGCTGTTCCTGGAGCGCTTCCCCTGGCCCAGCCTCCGCACCTACACGGCGCTCAGCGCCCTGGCGCTGCTGGCCGCCGGCCTCAGCGCCTACCGCGCCCTCAGCCAGGCGCCCGGCGGGGCGGCGGGCACCGAGCTGGCCGAGCCCCAGCGCTGCGCCGGCCCGCGGGCCCTGGACGTCGCCTACTACCTGCTCTCCGACAGCCTCTGCGTCTGGGTGAGCCCGGGGCGGCGGCGGGGCCTGCGGGCCTGCGGGGCTGGCAGCGGCCTCTGGGCACCTCCCCGCGGCCGGGGGGAGGTGGGCGGGCCCGGGGGGGTGTTTGGTTATTGTTGTTTGAAAACTGCTCGCGGAATAAAGAGGGGGCTCGGCTGGGTTTCCCCGGGCCGCCTCCGCAGCCGCTTCCCTTCCTGCCTGGCTGCGGTGGGGCAGCGTTAGAGCCGAGCGCCCAGAGAGTTCAGCCCGCGGCTTGTGCTGCTCTCCCCGAGCGCCTCCGCTCGTCCTGGCCGGGGGGGTGGGAGAAGCTGTTGGGAGCGTTTGCCGCGGTCCCAAGCGCTCAGCTTCGCCAAGCACTGCCCGACCTGCTCTGCCAGAAATCAGAGTAAGGGGCTGTCAGGTATTCGAGCCTTGCTGCTTTATTTATTTTCTTTTAAATAGCACTGAACGTTTTGTAGGTAAGGGGAAACATTCTCACCGTTTAAAGAAAAAAAAAATTATGTACTTTTTAAAATCCAGACCTCATAATGGTTCATGAATTTTGGCTCACTGATTTGCAGTTGAAATAAAGGCTCAACAAGGGGATATTGGATACCTTGCTGAGTTATTGCTGTTGAACTTTTCATCTGTCTGTCACTCAAAGGTGGCAGTAGTTGGACATTGGGTTCACAACATGCTTACTTGACCGAGGTGCTGGTTTTTAACATACCATATATAGTCATCCTGTTGAAACCTGGTCTCACAGCCTTAAGAATCCTGGAAAAGTGATGTCCTTTGGAAATGACAGGGTGAAGCTTCTTCATCATCTACTGTCTAGCCTTTTTAGTGTCCTGTTTAGGTCAAAAGTTAATTACAAATGCCTTTGTCAAATATGAGATAGCAGTTTTCCCAGGCCCATGTGCTCTGCTTCTTGCTACTTTGCTGTAAAGAAGTTTCCCAAGAAAGCCTCAAGCAGTGTTATTACTGAAGGGATATGTGCTATTCAGCATGTTTTGAGGCAATCTCTGAATCCTCTTACTGTAACAACAGATTCAAACTGGATTTTTCTCATCTGCCATGTGTTAAACAAAACGAGCATCTTGGTGATCTCTTAAGTTTTGTCCCGGTGTTCTTTTATGAAATTTGCTAAGCTCTATGAAATAATTTGTTGTGAAGTGGTAGAGCAGTTTGTTGGCTTTACTGCTGTATCAAACTGAATGTGTTAGTATTTCTAGAAAAAAAAGCTAAGACTTATCAGCTACTTCATGTTTCTTGGAAGAGGCCAGGCTTAAATTTCATCAAAAGAAAAGGCAACTAATACTGTTCTGTGAACAATGACAGGTTTTGTTAGACTCGTTCATTCCCCTTCTCTCCCTTCTTCTAAATAGGACAAAAGTATTTGTCACTGACTGCTTTATTTCTTTCCAGGTATTAGTGAACACTGCCTGCTGTTTTCTGATGCTGGTTGCTAAGCTAATCCAGTATATGGTGTTTGGTCCTCTTCGTGTCAGTGAGAGGCAGGTGAGACAGCAAACAAGGAAACTGTGAAACATGACAAATAAAGTCACATGGTGTGATTTTCTATATAGAATTGCTAAAACTGCACAAGAAAAATAAATTTTACAACGTATGTCTTACCATTTTGTTAGCAAGTATATCCACAGCCACAAGCTTCCAGTTTATTTTAAAGGGAATTTTTCCTATTGTATTTTATAAGCCCCCAGTCAGCTTGAAAAATCCTGTGTCTTTAATGAACTCTGTTAGATTTCTTACAAGCACACCTCACTTCAAAACACTTGTAACGTGTTCTTCTCTATTCTGCCTGCACCTGGCAGCATTTCTCCATTGCATTTTGTAGCTGTCAGCACTGGCAGTTTTGAGTTCCCTCTTTTGTACCATAACTGCTGGAGAAGTGCTTTCCATCCTCATACACTGAGTAGATGGTTTATCAGCCTGCAGGTTTAAGAGGCAGTAGGCAAGAAAATCCCCAGAGAAAGGAGGTGAGGAGGACAGAAAACAGAGGATGTTTAGTCCTGCTCTTGTCTATGTGAGAATGTTTGTAAAAATTCAGCAAAGGAACTATGAAAGCCCAGAATTTTTAAAAACAGAATCCTGCAGAAGATGAAAGCAGCAGCAGGACCTTGTATAGTATCTCTCTATATTTTTTTTAAAATTAAGGCAAATGCATAAGTTACTTGTGTAAATGCAAGAGCAGTGGTTTGGAGTGTGTTCACATATTAAAAAGAAAGTCTGTAAAAAGACTTCTATAGGAGGAATCAGGCCATGATGATTTTTGACATGCAGAACTGAAGCATACAAAGCCTCATTAATAACTGTGAATCTCTCAAAGCCTATTGTGTTTGTAATTCATACCTTGTAGAGGCTCTGAGTGGTATATTAAAACCAAGACACTATTAAACTGCAATGGGCCAGACTTTTTCTGCAGTCCATGTTGACTATAAGGATGTGGAATTTTAACTGGTGATGGTTCCCAGGATGTTCTTTACCCTCTTAAAAACTGAAGTGAGAAGTGGGTTCATTTGTGTTTAGACAGTGGGAGTTTGCCTCAGTTGTCATGTAAAGGAAAGCTGCTTATTAATACTGGTGAGTCTAAAACAGCAGCATCATTAAGGAATTCAGGCCTGTTTTAACTAAACTCCTGGTGATTTCATCATGTACTTTAACAAAACATTTTGTTTCATAAATTTCTTAATCCCCTTCAAGCTGGCTTGCTGTCTGCTGCTTGAGAACATCATATTATATCTTTCATACTTTTTGTGTGTGGGAATGATTTTATTTTCATTGCTCATCCATCTCATTCTCCACTGTAGGCATTGTGATTCTTAAGAACAGACATCATCATCTTTTCTTAATCATCTGTACTTTTTGGCAGGTTTTTGGAAGCAAGGTGCTAGGCAATTTGGGCATCTTGAATAACTAACTGTGACAGCTATTCCAACAGAGAGGACTGTGTATTTACAGCCTGGTAGCTGAGTTGCTTGGGCATGAGGAAACAATCTGAGATCAGACTTGCTTTGTGCTGAGCACTGTTTCAGGAATATCACAGGAAACTGCTCTGTGTGCTGTGTAGCAGTTATGCTGCCATGGTATAAGAAAATAGATAGACAGTAATGCCTGCTGGTATTTTTAATATGTTTCTTACTTGTATCTCTTCCATTACAGCATCTCAAAGATAAATTCTGGAATTTCATTTTCTACAAGTTTATCTTCATTTTTGGTGTGTTGAATGTTCAGACAGTAGAAGAAGTAGTGATGTGGTGCCTCTGGTTCTCTGGACTTGTGTTTCTTCATCTGATGGTTCAGCTCTGCAAGGATCGCTTTGAATATGTAAGTTTTGATTAAGGGCTGTCTTTTGGGGCATGCAAATTGTGTTTCTGGCTCAGGCACTGGCTCAGATAAGGTACAAACAGATCCTTTAGACTTTTTCCTCACCCTGTGGTACTGAACATGTGCACTTCCCATTTGCTTCAAATACTTGCTTTAAAGTACAACGTCAATCTTACTCCTTCAGTTTTCCCATGAGACAAATGGAGCTGAAGATACTTATTTTGTGTAATAAATGGCTCCTTATATGTGCCCTGTAATTACTATTACATAACTGGATGAGATGGCTTCATAGCCCTCCTTAGTAAAGACATCTTAACAGCAGAGCATCCCTTAGATTGGTGCCCTTTAGGATTGGCCTATGGAGCCTGTTTCTGCAGATTCTGTACTCAGGTTTCACACTCACTTAGATATACTGAGTTTTGACTGCCAGTGTCTTTACAATATACTGTGCGATTTTCTCTCTAAGCTACATTCCACTTTGTGCTAATACCAGGAATAAATTAGGTAGAGATGCAAAAATTGAAGGCTAGACAAGGAAGAAGAAACTAATTTAAACAGTAAATCTTGGCCTTTAAACTATAACAGGCCTACATTTTCGTAGGCTCCTCTCTCCTGGCGTAGAAGTTTGACCTGAATTGAATCCATGAATCTTTTTTTGGTAGATCTAAGCTTTGCAGGTATTTTTTTTTTAATAGTAATGTCCAGTAAAGCCTGTTAATTCACAGGTAGCTAAGCACTTAAATTTGAAACTGAATTGGCTAGGGTTAGGAAAATTAAGACAGCAGTGAACAAGTCAGTCATCTGGTATTTTTAGTCTTGTTCAGAAAGCTGGGAAAGAATACGAGTCACGTGGGAAGAAATCCTTATTATATTCTTTTTTGCATTCAAAGCATGTATAGTCAATTTTTGCTTGGACAAATGATACTTGTATGATTTGCCTTGTGAAGATGGGGCATGTGGAGCTGAACCAGATACAAAGAATTAAGAAAAAGCCCATTTAAAAAAAAAACATGGGAATCAACTTTGTAAATCAGATCAAAGTGAAGCTTTGGACAACTCCTTTCCTTGTCCTGTTCTTTCTCATCCTGCCCTGGAAAAAAGAGGATGGACCAACATCTGCTTGGGTTGCTTTTGGTTTAGACAGACCAGGTGTAGCCCTCTGTTAAGGTAGTTTAGACATTTAGCACACTTTGCATGCTATTG